ATCGCCCTTGTCGTTGCGTGGAGAACCGAGCTGCCGTAGGGTATGGGCGTGCCTCGGTGGTCGTTCTTCTCTGCCTCGGTCAAGCGCGTTGGGTCAGGCAACGATGAAGTCTTCATCTGAGAGCGGGTGACATCAGCGCCCATCGTGTCGGCATTATTGCCCTCTTTCGGGCAGAGTGTCGTCCAGCCATGACTGACGTCGTGGCGCGTCATGTCGCTATTATTACCCTCGTCAGTATTGATCTATACGTCCAAACACATGGAAATATAAACTGTTGGAGGTCGCACTCTAACGTGGCCTTCGTTGGCATATATGGCTGCATGCCTACGTATCTTTTTTCTTTCTTCCTCGCAGCGTTTTAAACGACAAAGAACGATAAAATAGTCGAATTCCCTTCAAATTACATGAAATTGAAATAGTATCGTTGTGTTCGCATATATTTTTTGCACGGATATCATTTTTGTTGCACACATACAAAGCATCTGAGGATTATACTAAGGTCGTACTGCTTCTATATGCATTCATATGAGGATTGCAATCTGTACGTGACACACACACAGGATGTGATGTTTGGTGGGACGGAGACGGTGGCGTTGGGCATAGAGTGGGCCATGGCGGAGCTACTCAAGAGCCCCGAAGAGCTGAAACGAACGCAACAGGAACTGGCGAGCGTCGTCGGCCTCCACCGGAAAGTGGACGACAGTGACCTTGACAAGCTCCCCTACCTCAAGTGTGCCGTGAAGGAGATGCTCCGTCTCCACCCTCCCCTCCCCCTCCTCCAACACCAGGCTACTCAGGACTGCGAGCTCGCCGGGTACTTCATCCCCGTCGGGACAAGGGTGTTCGTCAACGCGTGGGGCATCGGCCGGGACCGGGACGCGTGGAAGAGCCCCAACGCGTTCCGGCCGTCACGGTTCGCCCTGGGAGGCGACGCCGCGGCGTTCGACTTCCGAGGGAGCTGCTTCGAGCTTCTGCCGTTCGGGTCGGGGCGGCGGTCCTGCCCGGGCATGCAGCTGGGGCTCTACGTGCTGGAGCTGGCGGTGGCACAGCTGCTGCATTGCTTCGACTGGAGCCTGCCTGCCGGAACGAAGCCCGGTGACTTGGACATGGGCGATGTGTTTGGGCTCACTGCGCCCAAAGCAGTAAGGCTGATGGCTGTCCCAACTCCGCGCCTCACTTGCCCGCTCCTATAAGAAGCTTGCTTCTCTCCCGCGCGGCACTCTCGTTATAATTGAGATATTGTTCCTCGTTAATTGGCCTATGAACATGCAGCTGAAACATCTCAATTGTGCCTTTGTTATGCAACTATTAAGCTTTTACTCCTTGATATATAAATCCAACCGCTTACAATAACGAAACATTTGCCAGAGAACAACATGAGGAGCAAGTGCAGAACCTGTATATTCCCATGTTTGCACCGAACTTACCATAAGAGTTGTTGAAATCACAAAAGATTAATGACCCTGGCGCAAACTCTATATTAACACAAAAGATCTGGTACATGCATGCCACCAGTATGAAGATGACAAGATTTCCGGGGAGTCAAGTCTGGGCCAATGGGCATAATTGGTTAATTTGTTTTGCAGCAGACCAGAGTCTTGGATGTTGTTGGTCATCTTTAAACATAATCAAATTCGCATCGGTTCCCAGTATCCCCTGGCTGATCAACGTTGCTTTTTCAACATCAAACAGTGATATCTTCCTCGTCCCCTGTCCAGGTGTAGCGATTGTCTTCCCACCTACAAAACAAGGTCTATATATACGGTAACAAGTTCCAGTGTTGGATTCTACATGACCTTGAAGTTGGCTGTGAACTGGTCCAGCAGCGTTTCTGATGTCGTAGAGATGCAATATCGGGTCACTACCGGCTGATAGGATCAGGAAATTGTTCCATTTGTTCCATTCAACCGTGTTGACACCAGTAGAGTGCAGTGATTTGATGGTAAGAGCACAAGGCTCCGGCGACCTTGGATCGAGGACACATATACGTCCATCGACTCCACAGTCGGCAAGTCGTTCTTTTCCATCCCTGCAAAAATATTCAGGAACAACATATCGGTACTCTGAAGCACTGAAAAATACATGGCAATTCATTTTCGTAAAGCAAATCATTGTGTTGAAAATTATAATGCTCTAGAGTTGAAAATATTGTTATGATATTCTATTTAGATTATTCCGACTCTCAATTTAAAGTTTGTTTGCAGCTACACTCAATGCATAGTTAAATTCAGAAATACATGTGCACAAGATGGGTCAACAGAACATTGCTTCTATATTTGCATGTTCTATAAACCATTCCTCCGTAAATTTCGCCAGTCACTAGCAGCAAACTTCATCCTCAAGAAAGTTCCAGTCATTAAAAGATGACCAGTTTGGTATATAAGTCGGCGACGTTATGAACCAAGAGGTCGTTGTCTTCTATTGACAAGTCACTTGGTATGTCCTTGTAGAACTACACAAGAACCTTGATGCTATTGAGTGAATTCCAAGTTCATGAACAATAGCAAGATTACAACAGTTGAGCTGGAAACTCATCAGCTACCGGCTTTCAGAAATGTCATGTAGAATACGCTACAACCCACCTTGACTGCTACACACATTATTCATCCATTGCTTATTCCGTTATCCCCTTCTATGCAATTAAGGAGTGAATTTGAAGATGAGTGTCATTGACTCAGAAAGAAAAGACAAGAAAATTTAAGAGTCGGTCTTCGAAAATAACAGTGCTACAACATAAGATAGTATCCTCTACATTTGAATTTGTGAGAGCATCCTCTTTTTGTAATGCAAGTTTTGGGTTTCGGGAGCCGCCTCATAGATCATAACAAGTTGATAACTAGTTTATTTTTCTTTAATGAACCGATTGAGTTGATGATATGCGATACTTATGATAAACACATTATCGATCTATATTTTCTACCACAAATTGTAAATAAAGAATCAGGATTTCAAGAGTTCACTTTCATACTATCAGGAAAAAAAAACTAATTCTAAGATTTAAATATCTAAATCATGAATTAAGACCGGAAATCTCCTTCAGAGAAGGTGGCATGGAAACCAATTCACCAACGAAAACCAGACATATCTTAAATTGAAGAATGATGACTATTGTGCATCAAAGAGTTAAGTAATAGAAGGGTTACCCAAAACAAACGCCCCTGATGACTCCTGAATGGTGGCCGGTAATGTTCCGCTCTGCCACCAGCTCCCCTGCCGGCGTCAGCCTCGAAACACCAACAGAGGAGTCCTTTGATGCCGTGGCTATCCAGCAACTGAACCGGTCCATGGAGTAAACCCCACCGGTGTGCAGTTCCGTCGATTTGGCAACCACAGGCGGCGACCAGGATGACAAAGAAGATGGCTGCTTCTTGAGATCCCAAACAACAATAGCACCATCATTCGAACTCGACACCAGCAGCATCGGGTTATCCTCCACAAACTTTACGCCCGAGACCCAGCTCGGGCTTCCCTTCCAGCTCATAAGAGGCCCATCCATCATCTCCCCATCGGAGTTAATATTTTCGCAATCACCCCATTCCCCTCCATAAACAGATATGAAGCCTCTGTGGCCACCGGCGGCAACCAAGAACCGATCTTTCTTCGAGGAGCACACGTCAATGGAGTAAATCCTGGCCAGAGAAGGATCGCGGAATGCCTTACCGGAAACCCTAAATCCCACGATCGTGGAAGACCACGATGGAGACTCGGCAAGATGGGCGCCAGGCCGGAGGGGAGCTTCTTCATCATCGCAGACGTACTGGAAGACGGAGGAGTCGATGAGGCCGGGGTCAGGGAGTTCCGGTGCGGGGTCCTCCGATGTGGCCGGAGCGTCGTGGGGCGGGCGTTTGTTGCGGGAGCTACGGCGGAGGGGGAAGGACGAGGCGGGAGGGGGCCTGGGGCGGCGCTTGGAGGAGGTGTGTTGGTTCTTGTGAGCTATGGCGGTGGCGGAGGCGATGCCGAGCTTTTGGAGAAACTCTTGGTTCCGGCGAATGGTCTCCCGGCGGATTCGCTCGTAATCCGAAGCGGCTTCAGCGGCAGGAGTTTCGGGCTTTGAGATGGCGGTGGGGTTTGGTCTGTGGTGGTGGTGGTGGTGATGAAGGAAGGAGTCCATGGAGGACTGCTTGAGATTGGAGGCCGGAGCCATCGGAGAGGGGTGGGCGCGAGAAGCGCGTTCGGCCGAGGGGCGGCGTGGTTAGAAGTACACGTGGGTGGAACTCTCGTGTTGAAGCGAGTTAGGGAACAGGTATCATCGGTGCCGTCTACCGCTGATCACGAAATCAATCATAGCGGTTGGGAGCCATGGCCCCGTTCGGAGGGGAATTCCTGTTCCCTGTCATTGGACGACGTTCGGAGCTTAAGGCGGGAAAAGGAACGGTTGGTGCACCCGGCGTTGCGTGATCCGCTGTGTGGACCGGATCCTAAGATACTTTAATATGAGAGCGGAATGTCGTGTGTGTGTGTATATATATATATATATATATATTATTTATTTACTAAATAACTCAGGTTTTGAGACTCTTTTTATAGACATGAATAACTCATCTTATTGTGATGAAGATGATAATAATGATGATGTCTTTAAAAATGAATTAGCTAAAGAAAGATTACAATAGAAGTTTAAAGGTGATAGTATGTTATTAAACATATCAATTCCTTTTGTTGAAGATGATAATTATTCATACAATAATCCGTTTGTTGGTTAGGTATGATATTTGAATAATATTAAAATTATTTTATTATATATATATATATATTATTTTATAAACCTGAATAATGTCTTTGTACAATAAAAACACCAATGACATATATCCATTTAGGTCAAATTTAAATCTTTCCTAAATTTTTAGGTCTATTGGAACAATTTTTCTATTGGATGCACTATTTTTGCCCAACAATGCATTACGTATAAGGAAATATATTCTCTAGTCTAAATTTTTATGAAGCTCAAATATCAAAAACATTGGATGGATCCATTATATATGTGTAAAAATAAAAAAATGACCAAAAATAAAAAAATAACACATAGTTCATAAGCTAAAAAAATCATAAAATATATTTTTTTAAATCACTAAAATAGAAAACCAATAACATATATGCATCTGGGTCCAATTTAAGTATTTCATAAAATTTTTAAGTCTATTGAATCAGTTCTTTCATGTGATGCATCTTTTAAATTTTGGATAAAAATAGTATATTGCATATTAGCAAATATTATCTCTGGCCCAAATTTTTGCCAGATATTCTAGACCAATTTAGAAGGTCAAATGTTAAAAGAATATTACATAAATCTATGATATTTTTGTGAAAAATGAAAAAAATTAGCCAAAAATGAAAAACAACACAGAGTTCACAATCTGAATATTTTATAAAATTATTTTAAAAAATTCTATAAAATAAAAACTAGTAACATATTTTCGCTTGTGTTTAATTTAAGCATTTCATAAAATTTTCATGTCTATTGGATTAGTCCTTTTATACGATACACTATTTTTTGATTTTGAGTACAATGCATCGCAAATTAAGAAATATTTTCTCAAGCTTAAATTTTTATAAGTGGATCAATTTATAAGCTCAAACGTATAAAAACATTGATTGGATCCATGATAATATTGTTTAAATAGGAAAAAATTAGCCAAAAATAGAAAATGACACAAAATCCAAAAGTTGAATAATTCATAAAAAGATCAATAAAATTTTAAAATAAAAAACCAATGTATTATTTTTTTTATTATGAGCAAAAATAATGCACCACATATTAGTAAATATTTTCTCATACTCTAATTTTTCTCTAAAAGAATATTGTATGGATCTAATGTCAAAAATGAAAAAATGGCACAATTAAAATGTTAAATAATTCATAAAATATAAAAAAAAATTTCTAAAATGAAAACTAGTGACATGTCCATTGGGGTCTAATGCAAAAAATTCTCTAAAATAAAAGCCAAAGTGACATATTTTTGAAAATATGTCATGTATTTTGCACTATTTTTGAAATTTAGATAAAAAATAATGTATCATATATTATGAATTATTTTCTCTAACCCAAATTTTTAGGTTTTAGATCAATATAGAAGCTCAAATATCAAAATATATTGCATGGATCCATGATATTTCTATGAAAACAAGAAAAATTTACCCAAAAATAAAAATAACACATAATTCACAAAGATATCAAAAAAAAATCTAAAATAGTAAAGTATGGTTTGATTGATGATAAACAAATTAAGACCTCTAATGACATTAAGTCCAAATATTGTGTTGCAGTCTTTTGACATACGTTGGGATTCCTACTATTAAACAATAATTGCCCTAGAAATCGATCATGCACGGCGCCGAGATGTCGCCACCTCCGCGCGGCGTCGGTTCCCCTTTGCTCGTCACTTGCAGTAGAAAACGCCGCCTTCGATCCGAAGGAATCCTCTCCTCCGACGATCCTCGTCCTCTCCAAGTCTTTGCGCCTGGCGCCGAGGAGAATCGTCCCATCGTCGACTACGGCCGGAATCCCCTCAGCCGCGAATCGGACGGCCTTGGCATCCGCCAAGACGAGGCCGATGCTCAATACAAGCTGTTGCTGGAGCACCTTAACGTCGATGACAAGTCCTACGTTTTCGAGGTGGTCATCGGAGGCTCGCGGTGGCGAATCAAATACGAACAGGACGAGGACTCCTGTGTCACCGCGGTTCGGTCGCAGCCCCGGAAGCGTCGGTTGAGCACCTCTAGCCGAGCGTGTAACGCCAAGAAGAGGCGCAAGAACAATGGCCTGGGTCAGGAGCCTTGCGAGGCCTCTGGCCCGCGTGCTCCTCTTTCCCAAAGCGGGTGGGACGTTGGAGGCTCGTTGATCGATGAGGATTACCAGGTGTTCTTGAACCACGTCAAGGCGTGCGGCCGCTCGATGATTCTCCAGTACGGGAACAATGTGACCATCGTATATGAGAAAGAACGAAATGGAGGGGAGGAAGTTCAAGAGCAAGAAGAAGAAGAAGAAGAAGAAGAAGAAATTGGAAATGAAGCTGTACACCCCATGGAAATGGAAATGAAACTGTACGATGATCCTCTTCAAACCTCCAGTTCCACGGTTAGTCTCATGGTCTAGTCAGTGCTAACTGCTAATTGATTGTGTTTTGTATTTAGTTCCTGACGCTACCTCTGTAATATCATATTTTTACCATGCTATCTTATATACGACGGATTGCAGGCTAGCTACTTTGACGAATTACTGCAGCATAGGTCATCTTCATTCAGGGACAGGCTTATGGATATCCTCAGGAAGCCATTTGATCAGAAAGAATTTGAAAATATGATGTCTTTGATTAATATTCGGAATCCAATAGTGAAATACAAGGAATTGCGTAATGGATCCAAACCTTACATGACAAACCAGTTGGGAAGTTCATATCTCGATTGTCATCCTGGTGAGTATTAAAGTCGATTCACACGCTGATATTTGCTGTTCACTTGCTGTCTTTTCAGATAACAGACATCCAACCGTTGAAGCAGTTATCCAATTCTCGATCTTATGTTCATCCTATAATCTCATAATAGTTAGTCTTATGGCCAAACAACCACAAGATGTTACTAGGGACACAGCGCTGGCTCAATAGTCCCATATTAAAAATAACTTGGAATCTCTCTGGACATCAAAATATCCATACCTTGCAACCTGCTTAATTATACTTCTGCATGATTAGATGGTCTGTTACATGAATGGGCCATCTTGATGTTTGATGAACTATCATTCATTGATGTACAAGTTGAAACTAGTTTATCGGTTTGAAGTAAGCTATTACCATGTCTTAGATAGTTTCGGACTGTTCTGTTGTATGATTTTTCATACAATTGCTGCATGAATGGCTGAGTTCTAATGACTGTTTCTCTGATTTAGATCTTGCCAGACGCATCTCATCAGCATTTGATGATCACCACAAAAGTTTGTTTCTCCATGGCTTCTTCTTTTGGTTAAAGGTATCGTTCCCTTTTTATGTTCTTGCTCACTCTCCTCTTTTAAGTTGTTGTTGACATTTTATCTTATGCCTATTGTCCTCTTTGTTTTATCTTTGGTAAAGAAGGAATAGAATCCTTAAGGATCTATGAGATACATTTTGCCTTTTACATCCTCTAAGGCCATACCGCACACAATCTCAAGATAATATGATTACCCATCAATTATTTCTATGACTATTTTCATACTTCTCATGTTCTTATTTTTCATCTATTTGTTACTTATTTGTCCCAATATTTATTGATTAGTTTGGGGGAAATGATTCGGTGATCGAATCCTTCCTCTGAGCAGATTTACATTTTTTATGAGGATTGATAGGGATGTTGGAAGAAGAGAAATATGAAAGAGAAGAAGGATTACCTAATCATGCAATTGCAAAGAGACTTCTTGAGCAACAAGTTCGGACTTGAAAAAGGAATACCTAATCATGTAATAAAGAGACTTCTTGAGCAACAAGCCTGGACTTTTTTGAGCATGCAAACTTGGCTATCTGTTCCTTTGCTCTTGTTGCCACCTCTCTCTTTTCCCTCCTCTTATGATAGTTGACCCCCTTTTACTTATAGGTGTAGCACGGAAGACTCCTAACCTAACTCGAGAAAACATAACTAAAAAAGGACTCTTAATCGGAGTCCTCAACTCTTAGTCCAATGTAGGGGACTCCTTAAGCTCAGGCTTGAGTCTTTGAGTTAGTCGAACATGGACTTGAGCTAGGTTGATCATCCCTGATCATGGGTCCCCCAATTTAGCTGTTCAACTCCCGTTGAATATGGAATTGAAGAGAAGACAACTCTTCTTCATCGGCTTTTGTGAACTATCTTGCTCAAGGACTATAGTCTCATGTCGACTAGCGTGCCGATCAAGGCTCGGACTAGTATACATTAATTGGTATTGATGTATCGTGTGTCAGTATGCTGGTACATGCCGATGGCTCCAAAAAATCATTGTGAATTCTCAAAAAAAGCTTGAAAAATAAAAAAAACCTACATTATACCTGTTTAATTAGAACTTAATGCAAAATTAATTTAATTTCAATAAGAGGATGCCCAAATAAAGAAGGGATACCAGATTTATCTTTTTGGATGTTGAGGACCAACTTCGTGGCATGTTCCGAATAGTTCTTCTATTGATATTTAATCATCTACAAAGAAGAATTGATATATTAGATTACATGTCGTAACTTCAAGATTTAAACAAATTAAGAAACCAATGGAAGCAAATTGGAGTAGCTTATCTTGAAATGTTCTATGGACCTCCATTGGAACCTTGGTGCATTTTGCGGCATTAAGATACCCGCCAGGCCGCCAACTAAATGTTGCTTTAGTTGAATGATTCCTCCGCTCCTATCGACATAATCATAATGAATATACTATCAATGATGATGATTGTTGTCCAAACAGCAAGTATGATCCCAAGCCGGATCATGTATCTGTTCCTTTGGTGTCATTTTCCTGTAAATATTTATAAATTAACATGCTGTGATAATGCATTATCAATCAAGTAAGGACCCTAATTGGGTCTAGAAGATGTGTTTATACCTAATTACCCCAAATTAGGTTTTTAATTACAAAACAATCATAATTGGGTTTTAATTGACAATTAGGTTTGTAATTGACAAAACAATCATAATTGGGCTCTAATCGGAAAAATTAGGTTGATAATCAACAAAATAAGGTTTATAATAGACAAAATAATCATAATTGGGCTCTAAATAATCATAGTTGACAAAATAATCCTAAATTAGATAAAATGACACTAATCACACAAGTAACAAGTGCGTTTAGGCCTAATTACCTGCAAATTAGCACTAAAAAGGAAGCTTATTGACCCTAACTATGCCTAAATTCAAATTATGATCACTAATCTTTCAATTCATAAGCTGCATTTAGTCCTAATTACCCCCAAATTTGAACTGAAAGTAAGTGATTGACCCTAATGATCATTAACAATATAATGAAACTAATAAGGAGCTAATCATGTCCATAACTAATTAAAAGTATAATAATGTCTCAAATGATGCCTAAATTATAATTAATGCCACGAATCACATAAATAATAAGCTGTGTTTATGTCCAAATACCCTTAATTTGGCACTAAAAGTAAGAGATTGACCCTAATCATCATTAACTTGATATAATGGTGCTAATCTAATCATGTCAAAAGCTAACTAAAAGTACCTTCATGCAAATTAATGTCACTAATCACACAATAAACAAGATATATTCATCTAATTACCCCTAATTTGGCATTAAAAATATGTGATTGACCCTAATCATCGTTAACTACATATAATGGAGCTAATCATGCCAAAATCTAACTAAGAAGTAGTAAGAGAATACATACCTTCTAATTAGAGTGATCCTCCTCTAAATAACTTGTTAGGATGTGTTAATCCTCCCAATGAAGCTCTAATCACCAAAGGTCAGCTTTAATTGAGAAAAAGAGTGAATATGTTAGAAAGAGAGAGTGATTGAGTGAAAAAGAGAGTTTAGAAGTAGTGTTTTCAAAAGGCGCTTGGGTGAGGAGAGGCCCAGCACCTTGCAACACCTCGTGGCGAGGCGTTGCAATGAAACACCGTTCAAGCCATGTGCTCGAGCTAAATCGAGCCGACTTTAAGCTTGGGTTCGACTAGGTAAGTAAGCTAGTTCAATTGAACCAACTAATGTCATTACCGTAATACCCCTCCCCCCATGCACCTGACCCAATGAAAGAAACCAAAAGTGAAATAATACTGCTTGCCCGTCGCCTTCGTACGCTTTGTCCGCCTCATTCCTCATCGTTAGCAACCTCGTATTATGCCTTCATATACTCCATCCGTCGTTGCAATCCATCTGCTTCATCCGCCATGATCGGAAACCTTGTCCACTGCCTTCATCCGCTTCGTTCACTGCTGCACTTCATCCATTCGCTGTTGTAGCTTTGTCCGCCACCCTTTCCAACTTCGTCCACCATTGATTTTCACCTTCCTCTACAACCACTGGTTACTTCTCCATCTTCTCAGTCCTCTCGTTGTCATTTTATAGGTAATATAGGTAATACTTTCATCGATTAACTTACTGCACCATATTGAGGTGGTGCACTATTAGTTTGTTAGGAGTTAGAACTTAGGAGTTTTAAGTTCACCTAGGTAAGAACATCACATTGATATGAAAACATTGCTTAGAACATAATAGCGGTTAAAAAACACTGCTTAGTAGTTAGCACCCACCTCAAATTTCACCCCCTTTTGAAAACACTACTTAAAATATATTATATATTTTAAAAAAATTAATATTCAGGAATGTCTCTCTTCACTCGAGCGAGCGCCTCCGGCGTTTTGGGACCTTGGCGCCTTTTGGCACATAGTGCTTTTGAAAACGTTGTTTATAAGTTGTGAGAGTGAGAGAAGGTGAAAGAGCAGAGGGAGGAGGTTTAAATGGGGTTTGAAAGTGGTCGAACGAGTAATTTGATCGTCGGACCAATATGGATCATAGCCATTGATCCATATCGATTGAAATCCAATTGTTATCAGTCAATACACGTTGATAATTGTCAAATTTGACTATTTCGCCCGGTACGACTACCCCATATATATACTGCTCAGTACAGGGTGTTTCACATCTCGATCTTCTGTCAAACCGGTATGCATTGCTTCTGCTGTACCATTTCGGGCAGAACGTCAATCCTTGATCTTGTTGACCTAGGAATTTTCCCTTTGTATCCACTCCAAAAGTTGTTTTGATGCCTTATCTTATGGTAGTAACATTTTTTTTCGGCAATGGTGTCTCTGTCTAGAGTTACATTCTTGGAACCAACCCTCAACGTGGTGTGGGTCATGTACTCTTTGTATTTCTGTTGAGCCCATTGAAGTTGCTGAAGCTGCTGTTCGGCTTTCTTGTACACTCGTCGGATGTGTTCAAGAAATTTTAGACTCATAGTGCTATGTTGCTTCTTTGGAGATTTGTGATATTGAATTGGTTGTAAACTACAAACTGCAAGTCAAAAGGGCTTTGCTGTAAGTGCATACCTCAAACAGTGACTTGGTCATGGAGTTGTGCGCCACTCGATTAAATGCCAATTGCGGATATGGTAGGTTTTTGTCTCATGTTTTTGGATGTTGGGAGTTGTATCATTATATTAGATGAACTATCGTACAATTCACTATTTTGGTTTGTCCATTCGTCTAGGAGTGTAATATAGTCAATCAAGTGCACATCATGGCCCAAGGAGATCTCCAAAAGCTGGACATCTCTATTCATTTTTGCTGGTCTTCAATCGAGTGCCTATCATGGCTTAAGAACTGTTCATCTTTGCGGACACGATTGAGCTTGGAAGCTCGAAGTACATTCATATATATTGGAAAAATAATTGTGCTGACTCCTTAGGTAATCATTTTCTTAATGAACACTATTATTTTTGAAAACTTATCGACCGCCACGAAGAGGTAGTCATGACCCTTCCACATGTTAGGAAGACCCCCCAAGAAGTCCATGGAAATGCTCTCTCACAGTCTCGTGGGTGGCTGGTTGGAGGTGTTGCATAACACAAATCCTCTCATAAACTATGCCACATCCTATTGTATCCGAGGCCAACAAACGTAATATTACAGGTTTTGCAACGTCATGCCAAAGTGCCTTGCGACCTGGACATATTTGCCTCTCGCATTCGGTTCACATGATCTACCTCTTTCGATACATAAAATTGAGTTCCCTTGGACAATGGGCCCTTCTCGAAACATGAACTCTGTTGTTTTTGCCTTGAGCTCTTCAATCAGGCCTTGAACTTCGGGTTTTTCTTGTACATGCTCATGTAATCATCATGTAGACTCGGTTGTACCTACATTTGAATAAACAAGCAACGATTCGTGATAAGGGGTTGCGATAACATGTCAACTAGATTGTTTTATACTCCCTTATTCTATTTGATTACAAGGTTAAATTGCTATAGGTATGACATCTGCTTCATGTGTCGATCTTGCTCCAATTCG